ACCCACAGCCCACCTGCAGCTTGACCCACAGCCCACCTGTAGCTTGCCCCCACAGCCCACCTGCAGCTTGACTCCCACAGCCCACCTGCAGCTTGACCCACAGCCCACCTGCAGCTTGACCCACAGCCCACCTGTAGCTTGCCCCCCACAGCCCACATGCAGCTTGACCCACAGCCCACCTGCAGCTTGACCCCCACAGCCCACCTGCAGCGTGACCCCCACAGCTCACCTGCAGCTTGACCCCCACAGCCCACCTGCAGCTTGACCCCCACAGCCCACCTGTAGCTTGCCCCACAGTCGGCACTTGTCGCAGCCCACACAGTCCATGATGCGAGAGATGTTGAGGAAATGAAGCCGGAACTCTTCCTTCAGCTTCCGTGCGACCTCCACGTCACCTTGAAACATGACGCTCTCGTCAAAGTTGTTCGGAAACGACCTGAAATTCGCAGAAACACTCTGAAAGTTATCGTCGCGCTGGTGCACGGGGCTTCGTTTTCTCGAAGAGACACCAGACTTTAAATGCGGACCTGCGGTGTCACCGAGCTACGATATTTGTTGTTTCCAGTGATGGATGTATGGTGGGGTCTGGTCTTTTATGTCAGGATAGGCTGATATTCTTCGAGGTTCGTTTTGAATGAGGAATGTGGTTACGTGTGGGTGATAAGGGGCAGTGGTGCAAGAGGTAGGCGATGCGCGCGGGAGGGTTGGGAGTGGTAGCGGCTTTGATGGGGCAGTTATCATGGAAATGGTCGCGAAGGAGGGCAGTGGTTATGGGGCACAGTTGCATGATATGGTCCTGGTATGGGTACTTGTGCTAAAGGGGGCAGGTGTTATGGAAATGGTAGTGATGGAAGGGATGGTTAGGGATGGTTAGGGATAGTTAGGGATGGTAGTGATGGCTGGTGGGGATGGGAATGGTGCACAGCGTAAACTGAAGGACGTGATGGTAAGGGAAGAGGGTGTGAGGTGGGCGGGTTATGGTCGCTCTGGGGATGACAAGGTGAGAGCATGCTGCAGGAGTGTCCCTCACGTACCTTACAATGTTGAGCAGCTGAGACACTATCTGCGTAACCTCAGCATCTTCTACCGAGTCTCCACTGTAGAAATCCTCCTGCAACATACAAGATAGGCAAAGCACCGTGAACTGGGGAATTCCTAGCACAGCTGACATGCAGTAGGCTATACATTTCACACACGTAGGTTTAGCATTGTTATGTAGTAGACTTTTAGCAGTTGCATACACATAGCATTAGCATAGTTGAGTACATGTATGTTTAGTATAGTTACATATATGTAAGTTTAGCATAGTTATGAACATGTAGGTTTAGCATAGTTATGTACATGTAGGTTTAGCATAGTTATGTACATGTAGGTTTAGCATAGTTATATACATGTAGATTTAGCATAGTTATGTACATGTAGGTTCAGAATAGTTATGTACATGTAGGTTTAGCATAGTTATATACATGTAGGTTTAGAATAGTTTTGTACATGTAGGTTTAGCATAGTTCTGTACATGTAGATGTTGCATGGTGATGTGGGGTCGATTTCACTATAAAACTGCCTACCGATTCAAAGTAGGGTGCAGCCTTTGCAAGAGCTCTCAGTTCCAGTAGGTAAACAAAGTAAAGGTTCTTGAGCCTTTGTGGGCCCTCGCCATCGGTAAACACTGGGTCGAACCGGCGTCTAAACTCTTCTGGGTTGGGTCCCCACTTGGGAGGGGTAAGCTGTCCCAAACCTGCACACATGCAAGCAATTGAACTGGTTAAAGTCAACATGTGAAGCACAACTCACACAATCTATCTAGAAATCGGTTGGAAAATTATAAAAACAACATTACATTTTTCGCTCAGGTACACGCAGATTGACATTTCACTTGCATTTTTTACAGCATATAAACATGAATGTTTGATTGTGTAAATCAAACGCCTCATAATGACGGTAGTGGCCAGGCATTAATCACACCGTATCCATCCAACCATAAACACACGTCGTTGGAAGACAGATTCATGACACAGGCAAGTACCTCAGCGTACTATTAACGTGAACCTGGGAAGACATAACCCCGGCATAGAGAAGTATATCAACCTCCTAGAATAATAACCACATATTGTGGGTAGACGGATGTAACGCATAGTAACCATCACACCCTACTCTAATAAACGCACATGAATAGACAGATGCAAAAGGTTAAGCATCCCATCCTACTTTAAACATGCACCTGGGAAGACAGATACACAGGTTGACCATCCCACCCTACTGTAAACACGCACCTGGAAACAGGTAATCGGCGCACAGGTGGATGTTGATGCTGGCATGCAGGCCGGACACCGCACGGAAAAACGCCCTCTTCTCCAGGCACAGATCTGCAAGTAGCGACAGCGACTGGTTGAACGCTCGCTCGCGCAACAACCGTGAATGCAGACGACAGGTTACTCCAATTCTCTAACGACCGTTACATGCAAGCACGACTGAAACGCTCTCTCACGCGCCGCGCCTTCGTGCTTACCTCCCACAGTCCGTGACGTGATGTAGTCGCCGTATCCCGGCTTTGGTCTGTAATAAAAATACATCGAGGCAACGTGAAGAGACGTGGGAAAACTTGAAAAAAGTATTTTAAAAAGAAATTTAAAAGTAAGATTCTAGCCATTTCAGATGCCGCACTCACATTACGCGACCAGCGATTTCTCGCCTCCGCGGTAAACCAGCAATCCGCGCAACAGAACGTCAGTGTCCTGGAGAGTTGGAGTCATCGTTTCGAAGAACCGAAAACCGGCAACTGAAATTGCCACTTACAGGTTCGCATTTCGAATGCTACCAACGCGGACTTGTGCAATCAGTAACAACGATACGTGCACATTAGTCAACACCCACGTGCTCGATTTGGGTGAAATGATGACCGAATCTCTGCAAGTCTTTCGATCGAGCATCCGTATGGTCAGAGTAAGATCCCAGGTATGCACATAGGGATCGATTTTTTGGGGCTGAGGTTAGCCTCGCTACGGGTTTAGTCAGAAACTTCAGGTTGCTAAGGCTGGGGTAATAAGGCAAACATATCGCTCCAGGGAACGGAGCTAACTTTTCATCGCCACTTTTTTCTGTGGAACAGGGAGAGATAAGTACATAACTTGTGGTTATAATGGCAATACCTACTAATAGAGGTTTAAATGGGAAGGGCACGAGTGCAAACAAGGCAAGGCAGCGACTGCATGGACCGTCATGGACCTCGTAAAATTTTCGAGGCGCAGCACCTTGTGGAATTTTCGACGTGCCGCAGCAAATACGAAAAAGCAAACCTGGCAACCATCGCCGGAATCATGGCGATATTTGCGACCCTGCGTGCACGCCTATTGCACCAATCAGATTTTTTTTCTCCATGAAAAAGACTGTCTTCATTACGTGAATTTGCATTTTAATTACACGCAATAAAGATTCAATAATAATAAAATACGCACTTGAAGCAGTTTTCTTCGTAGATCGTCCTCCAGATGCGGAGAGCTGATGCGCCCCGATATCCCGTGTAGCGTTCCGGGTTGAGCAGCAGGTCAACGTATTCGCCTGACGTCTCGTCTGTGTGAGACAACGAGCGACAATCACGGCCCATGCGCGCACACACGCACACATGCGTGCACACACGTGCACACACACGCGTTGCGATATCAATACAACATGCCACGAAATGAGCAACTAGTGCAAGATACGCGACGGAATGAGTAATACGTTGCACACGTGAGGAAACCGAGTAATTCGAGTAGGGTACACGACAAAATAACTTGTGTAACAAATTAATTTGAGAAAGATACGCGACTAAATAAGTGACTTGAGTAAGATTCGTGACAAAACAATTAACATGAGCAACATATGTGATCAGAGGAAGAACTTTAGTAAGACACATAATCAATAACACGAGTTAAGTTGATCAGCCCATCGTTGTCCTGCCTGCATGTATTATATTGCAAGCATACCATCTATCTGGCAGAACATGTCCTGCGCATCGTCGAACTGCTTCCAAGTCTGAATCGCTTCCAGGGTTTCCTTGCTGCAAACACACACACATCCAGTCAGATTATGCATGGAGAATGCTGGGAGTTCACGTGCCACCAATCAGATACTGGATAGGGAATGCTGGGAGTTCATGTGCCACCAATCAGATACTGGATAGGGAATGCTGGGAGTTCATGTGGCCAGCCAAATAGATAGTGGATGGGGAGATGATGTGCAAGCCGGAAAATTATTATTATTATGTGCCACCAATCAGACGTCTTTAACTGTTGGACAGACACTGGGCACCTACCCTACACTTATTCTTGATCTAAATCACTAACAGCAGTGTTTTTCCCTATACCCCAGTGACACTCCAAACACATTCCTACACCGAGGAAAGATTCTCAAAGGAACCACCCAGCATTCATTGTCATCTACCTGATGCATTCTGATTCTACACGAAAGGTTCAGACTCTACCTGACACATATTCTTACTCTATCTGACAAATATTCTTGCTCATCTAACACACACATTCTTGCTCTATCTAACACACATTCTTGCTCCATCTAACACACATTCTTGCTCTATCCAACACATACTCTAGCACTATCTAACACATACTCTTGCTCTATCTATTAAAATAGCTGCTAGCACTATCTAACACATACTCCTGCTCTATCCAACACATACTCTAGCACTATCTAACACATACTCTTGCTCTATCTATTAACACATACTCTAGCACTATCTAACACATACTCTTGCTCTATCTATTAACATATATACTCCTGCTCTATCTGACACACATTCTCACTCTCACCTGATCGTCGGATCCAAGGCACCAAGCTCCTTGCCCTCCTCCTCCGCACACGCTGGCTTCTCGGTCATCTTCCTGCCCTCCTGCTCAACCACGCGGCCCGGCTGGCTGCCCGTGCACGCCGGCTGTCCGCTCTCCGGGCTGCCCACGCACGCCTCGCTGCTCTCCTGCGCCTCTGCCGAGTACTGGCAATGATAAAAAAACAGCCAATATGCGGCGACCGCGCATTAAAGCACGCTCACGACTTGCGCAGCGCAAGCCAAAACTCGCTATTATGGTGAGACGAGGAGCGGGATCGATGCAAGCTCTAAGAAATTCGGCACAGCTTTAAATATAAGCACACACACAGACATATATATATATATATTTATACCTGGAATTAATAAAAAAATGCTTTGTCCAAGTGTTTTACTGCACCGAAAAAAGCCAGTCCTGTGACGAGTGAGTCCGTCGTTGAAACACATACATTTGAAACCACACCTGACAAGCGTCGACTTGTCGCAAATGTCACAAATGACGTTACACAGAATCGGAGCAACACGAATTCGGTGTAAAATCCACCTACAACTTATTCCCCAACTTTGCACTCGTCTCTTTCTTAACACATAACGGACACGAAGAAACAGCGCAGACGTTTTCGACTGCATTTCAGAACTCCGAAGGCATTCGCACATGAAGGGATTTTGTTGCAAGGGGGCTTACCTTATATTGGTTCCCCTGGCCATTTCCATTCTGCAAGAGGCCACCCGGTACATCCTCCTGCAATGTCAAGCCATGAAGGCTATCAATATATAAATACATGGTCCATTCTTTTACAAAGGTTAGACGCAATCATCTACTACAGACACATGAAAACTTGCAGCTTTTCTCTGCACGTCTTTTTGTGAAAATTTTCCCTTCGAAATGACGTGTTAGTTTCTAGATAGATAGTGGCAGTTAAAAGAAGCTAACAAGAACCAAAAAGGAAAGGAAGGATGGAGAAAGAAAACAAAAGGAAGAATCGGTCATACGTCCTTGCAAGCGTCCACTGAGCAGGCTTCTATGGAACACTGCGAGTCATCCGGCCAGAAGGGACAGCCGTTGTTGAGATTAACCTAAGAAAACAACAATAACAACAACAATAAGAAGAAAAATAAAGATAACAATAACAACGATCGTTAGTATTTTGTTGATTCAATGATGACTATGGTTTTAATTATTGCATATATTATTGCACTCAAAAAGAGGAAAACCGATCAGAAAATGGGGGCCCTCTGCATGTGGGCAACTTTTACTGTTATAAATTTACCACATGAACTACACGGTCAAAGAAAACACCTGATAATTCGACTATTTATTATCAGGAGACATGTACGCAATCCGCTAGTGTTTTCAGCAGTCTCTCCTCACATTAACTGTCTCGCTTTGATGCCAATGACGCTAGCTGGCACCAAGCATGGCGCACACAATCAGAAAACTCGTTACGACAAGGCTAACGAGTCAATTAATTGGTCCGGGAGCCACTCTACCTTGAAGAAGCGAAAGTAGTCCCTGTTCAACAGCGGTTGCAGCAGAGGCCATATCCTCGCATTGTTGAAGTGATCGACGGTGTTGATGTCACAGCCGCAGTCGTCCACCTGTCCCACCAGCTGCAAGCAGAGGTCAGAGGTCAGAGCCCCAATGTCGCGCAGGTATAGACTGTGCACACATGAGAGATCACGGCAGGAGGTGCCCGCGATGCGTGCATCATCGGTATTTGCGTCGCGCTTTGTGCTACTTCCTCGTAGGAAGTGGCAGTTAACTTAGAGAGCGAGAATGCCCAGGGACAAAACGATGACCCAGTTTCCGCGAGGTCATGTCGGGAGAATTGCAAGCAGTTTGTTCGGCCAACTACGCGAGTCTACATCTAGTACCGTGTTACGCTTTCCATCATACTTTTCCTGCTTCCAACCTACATATTGGACAGATATTCGAACACATGTTCAGATACAAACAGCATCTGCCCACACAGGACAAGGAAAAACATACAATACATACATTATTGGATGCATAATTACCAATTCGAATGGAGTTTTCGATAGGGCCGCAGTACCTAGAGTTATTGGCAGCATTTCTTGTAGACACAAGAACACAAGCAGCTGAGCACACAACCTTGTCACCAGCATCCTGTATAGAATGTCTATTTGGGAATGTTTAGCTTTAGAACCTAAAATTCTCTCACTCACAAGTTAGCTGTAGTGCCACGTCTATCGAATCATCACAAAACGAGACTGGGAACCTTGGTGACACTGGAGCTAACTGCTGCTGTGGCTGTACCATGGTGGGAATGTCAAGTATTTGCACAGCGAGTGCCGACTCCATCCACACACGTTCTTACACGTATGCAGTAATGCAGTCATCACATTGAACCACCTACCTGCATGTACGTGCCGTTACCCACATCTACCTGTAAACCTGCATTCCATATATACACCTCACGTACAAATAGCAAACATTTAAATTAGCTTGCAGCAGATACCGTGCCGATTGCGTGATAAGGGATGTTAACTGGGCAGCATTGTAACTCGGGAATTCCTGCCTCCATGAAAACATATATCTACCCTTCTCGCAATCAGATTAGATATCTTATCGACATATTAGATCTAGACTATAGTTAATAACATCTGCGACACTTCCCACTGTGCTACAGTTGGCTCAGACTACTGCAAATGAGTAGAAATACGAGAATGAACATACGTATTACGTCGTGCTAGAAAATGAACATACGTAGTGTTATCGTATACTTTGATAGTGTGCAACCAGCCACATGCTCAAACTCACCTTTCCAACAAGGAGAGACGGCTCATAAACTCATTACCTTTCCTACCTTCTGCCACACGTTTCTTGTTTATTTGTTAGCATGTTAGATATTTATTAGACATTTAGAAATTATAACTGTGTGGTCTTGTTAGTCACTATTCTTGTTGAATTACATACCTAAAAGAGCTATATCTATGTAACGAGCTAGGTTATCAAGAATCGTGTATGACAACTCACATCTTGCACATCTATGATACTTGTAACCGGGGTAAAAATTAACTTTTGAACAAGGAAGTCCACCCCTCAAAAAGTGGGAGTCCGCAGCAAAATGAGAGAGTCCGCAGTCTAAAGTTCAAAACTAAAGATATTAACAATAACGCGTGTGCTTATTTTGAAGATTCATGTGGTTGCACGTCTGCCAAATGAAATTGTTTTTGGACATTTGCTGAAAAAATACGCCAATTCCGCGAGGCCGTGCTCTGGAACAAACTAGTTAGTATAGCAGAATTTTCAGGGAGTCACACGGACTCCTGCATATGTAAAATCAGGGACTCGGACAGAAAATCAGGGAGTATTCGACTCCGGACTCGCGTTAATTTCACACCCTGTTGTAACAATTATGGCCATAGCAGTGCTTGGAGATTAATATTCTATCTTTGCACTTAGTGGCATGAAATTATTGTATGTGATTCACATACAGTCGTTGCCCACCCTTAAATTGGAAGCAATGGATGTGACAAAACCACTATCATCAAGACTATGCTAGATATTTTTTCAATTGGTTTTATGAAAAAATTGGCCCTTCTGGGTCCTTTTTTTAATGCTCCTATACTATAAATTTTGCACATGGTCTTTTCATTCAGGAGAAGAATTCTGATTTATTTGAGTTCCAAGTGAATGAGATTGACTATATATAGGAGATATAAGACACATACATATCAAGAAGATGATCAAGATAGGCGATGATTCAGCAGTAATATGCTATCACCCCTCACCGTCATAATTATTTGTACATGTTATCTGTATAGCCTGCAAATCCTGTAAAATAATTTGTTTGTAATGAATTGTATATATTTTATCCAGCAATGTTTAGGGTGGGAAAATACTTTAAATATCTGTCCTTCCAGTGGCAGTGCTGCGTATCACAGAGCCTCTCACAGAAAACATTACACACACACAAACTAGCCATTGTTCAATGAAAGAGAGAGTATAAGGAAAAGAAATGGAGGGCAAGGTAGGATATTAAATGGCCGCACGACTAGAGTAAATCATTAAATTGCTAGCGCCAAACCAATGTTATGTTATGCTAATATTTATAGCAGTATGCCATATATGACTGCTTCCTCTTTAGTAAACTGCAAATTTGAGGCTTTTTCTACTGCAATCCGCAGTGTTGATCAACTTTGTCTTTTTCCGTCTTCGATATAGTCCCTTTGACTTTGAAGACAATTATTTTCGAGGTTACGAGAGATTTCATATATGATGTTCAGGGCTGACAAGAAAGTAGCACTAGTTCATTAGGAGACCAGAATGATGGTCATGTAATTAACTGAACGATCAACTGCTGTGCATTATGTAGCTCTAGTACTATAGCCCTTCGCTCCGCCGCAGGGCAGGGCGTGGCGGAGCAAAGAGCTATAGTACTAGAGCCAGTGGCGTACGCAGGGGGGGTGTTTGGGGTGTTAAACACCCCCCTTGCCTCTGTCCCAAACAAACATTTAAAAAAAAGAAAAGAAGAGGAGAGGAGAAAAAGGAGAGAGAGAGGAGAGAGAGAGAGAGAGAGAGAGAGAGAGAGAGAGAGAGAGAGAGAGAGAGAGAGAGAGAGAGAGAGAGGAGAGAGAGAGAGAGAAGAGAGAGTGTGTGTGAGAGAGAGAGGAAGGAGAGAAAGAGGGAAAAAGAGAGGGAGAGAGAACAGAAGGGCCCTATTATCCTGTTTATTAAGTTTAGTATTTGTAAACACCCCCTCCCGAGCTGTAAGAACAAGGTAGCCTATAACGCAGGGTAAGGAGTGTGTACAATGAAATGAGATAGAGAACCCCAAAATCGATCTGCGCGGGGATGTGAGAATTACTCCACAACCCGTGCACGTATTACCCGTGCACGTAAATAAACCCTGGCCAACACAATGTAGGGTTCACTACCACTGGCCAAAAGTAAGCTCCACCTACTTCTTATCGATTTTTGCCAACGCTGCTACTGGATTCAGGAACCTGTGCTAACCTGTGCGTCCGAACATCCCACGCACGTTTCTTGAATGCCAACTAAAGTTGATTGCAGTGGGCGAACGCATTGTTTACATGTATGTCACGGTTTATAACGGATTAGTTTTCAAATAAATACCCCTGGAAGTTAATATGCATGAACAGATTTATACAGGTAACAGTTTCTCAGTGTTTCGAATTTTCGGTGATCAAATAGCTGTAGGATCAGCGGGCTTGTTGTATCAAGAAGCTGTAGGCCCGGCATCGAAACTGTCGGTGGCGGGCCGACGGGCCGACGTGAATTTCGAACACTGATTACAACACAGTTTGTGTTCGTCCAAGTTTACACAACTTATCGTAACACAAATGCGAGCTGTGATTGGTCGGGTCGTCACACATGCGCATACGCATCCTATATGATAGTATATCATCAAGAGCTCATAATAGAGAAGAGTATGACACCGTTTTAACAGCGTTTTCAACTTGTAAATATTCTATCAATAAGTGAATAAATATATTCAAACTTTACCTTGTTTTCATCTACAATTTTCCCTTAATCATTATGACACCACCAATTTACCTGAAAATCGTATGTGTTCTTCAAAAAATTTCTTTGAATACGACACGGTTTCACACAGTTTTCCCAAATGTTCGCATCTATTCGGCGCAAGTTTATTATCGGATTAGTGTTCTATTGTCTATGACGGAATGCTGGGGATATTAGGCATCGAATTGTATTCAGCGTGTAGTGTTTCCAGCGCGCTAGAAAGAAGTGCTCACAGCAAGCTAGCAGCTGATTTTAGCTGTGTTGCCATCGTGTTCCTGATGATAAGGAAGCGAAACAAGTGCTGTTATACTGTGCTTATACCTAATATCCCCAACAGCCCCCAGCGTCCCGTAGTTACAACCTGGTGCTGCCGTCGCATATCAACATGTGCCGCTCAGATGCGAATTGTTGGGAAAACTGTGTGAAACCGTGTCGTATTCAAAGAACTTTCTTGAAGAACACATACACATACACATACAGGTAAATTGGTGGTGTCATATGATTAAGGGAAAATCATAGACGAAAACAAGGTAAAGTTTGAATATATTTATTCACATATTGATAGAATATTTACTAGTTGAAAACTATGCAAAACGCTGTTAAAACGGTGTCATGCTCTTCTCTATTATGACAGGAGCTCTTGATATCACACAATCAGTATTTCGCACACGTCCGGAATTTCGCGCGATACCCCGCGTACAGGAGTTGCGCCTGCGGTAGCTCTAGTACTATAGCCCGCGGATCGCTGCCGCAGGGCTATAGCACATTCTGCCATAGATGTAATCTAAGCAAATGGTCCAACTGATGTGACCAAAAATTTATCCCCAAAACGTAAAATGATCGGGCTTTTTAACATCATGGACATGGTCATCATGTCATCTATCAACATGGACATCTCACCTATCTTTTTGAACACTTCCACAACTTTACACAAGGTATTTATGCTGTTATTCCTCAAAGTCTTAGGCTCTTAGCACTGAAGAGTCACGCGTGCACACATAAGCAGAGCAACCGCATTTGAAAACAAAACACCAGTGGCAGTAGTGCTAAGACTTTGAGGAATAACAGCATAAATACCTGCTGTGAAGTTGTGGAAGTGTTCAAAAAGATAGGTGAGATGTCCATGTTGATAGATAAGTGTTAAAAAGCCCGATCATTTTACGTTTTGGGGATAAATTTCTGGTCACATCAGTTGGACCATGGCATTTGCTTAGATTACATCTATGGCAGAATGTGCTATAGCCCTGCGGCAGCGATCCGCGGGCTATAGTACTAGAGCTACGCCTGCGGCAAGACACTGAGAGAATGATTTACCTGGCAAAAACAACTTAACAAGTCATCGGATCGGCCTACATGGCAATTACATTTCAACAACACTGACATAACAAGTATGGAGAGCGCCTGGTGTACGTGGAAGGACTTCATCTCTTCCGATATTCGAAGAGAGCAGTACCAAACTGAAACTGCTTATTCACTATTCAGAGCATCTTCAAAACATTTTGCGAGAACTTTCGCAAAAACCGAGCAGTCACCAAAACAAGCATATTCCGCCAGACAAACTAGTTCCCAGAAGTATGAAATCCGTCATGGTGTTTCTACTGGCTATTAAAAGTCATACACCTTTGCTGTACATATTTTCAGCAAATGCTAAAATTGCTACTAAACCTTTTTTTGGCATTTTTGAAAAGTCAAGTTGCTGCGAGGCGTATTGATACACTACCTAAATGGTTGACGGAAGTGAATACCGGATAAAAGCGGGCCAAAGCGGCGGCGCTAGTAGGCATTTTACGGCCAGTTCACGGCCAAGTTCGCGGCTAGACGTGCACAGGTAAACAAATTAAAACAGTGCTCTTATTTCTAATACTTAATGCCACGCCAATATTACTTCTAAATAGGCAACATACAACACTCCTGGTCCAGTGTTTAGGGCCACTGTTAGCTCCAAGAAACGTATTGATAAGGTTAGAATACCCTAATGTACGTACACTGTTGACGTTACGTACGGGTACTTACACACGTTACTGTCGTTAGACTACAATAATCATTATATAATAATAATGTACAGAGTGAGCTATATGCCCTGGCAGCCGGCATATAATCTAGACGCTGCCGGGCACTCTCGTCAGTCTTCGTATTTGCCTACCGGAATGCCGGGCCAGTTTTTAATTTTAGTGTTATCTCAAGTAACAAGGTTAGATTAGGATTTAGGTTAGTTAGGTTGCGGGTTAGGGTTAGCAGTTAGAGGTTAGGCGGTTACGAGTTAGGAGTTAGGAATGCGGGCTATTCAGAAACGAACACCCCGTGCCGGCTGCCGCAGTATAGCCACAGCGGTATAATGTACAAAACAACTGCTTAACACTGTCAACTGTGTTGTTTCGACAGTTGTCCGCTATCGCGTCCGAGAAACGCCCCGCCACCGGTCGACTAGCTTTAGTCATACCCTGTTCCACATCCAGCTCACACAGTGATGCGCCAATCGCCGTACACGCATGATTGCGCAATGACGCTATGCTGCCGTCGTATACTTTCATCCCGTCTTCTCTTGCCTCTCTACTCTCTCTCTTCACACACACGGCCCCCCCGCCCAGCGTCTCTCTCTCTCTCGTTCCTCTATCTATCTCGTGTCTCTCTCTTTCTCTCTCTCTCTCTCTCTCTCTCTATCTCTCGCTCTCTCTCTCTCTCTCTCTTCTCTCTCTCTCTCTCTCACACACACACCCAGTGGCATCAAGTCAGAGCGTCCATTGCACAATAATGGTGTACGTGTCGCAAGACTCCACTGTGATGAGCATGGATGTACGGACCGTAAGGGCCTATAGCGACTCCGCTCTCCGCAAGCGCTCGCGGTAGGCTGTCGTTACCACAACGTAGGTGCGAATCGGCACGCAATCTCAAGATTGTTACACCAATGATTGCTGCTGCCCAAACTGACGGACGTTCGTAGTCCTGTGGACTCAATCTCTAGCATTGGTCCAACTGAAAAACAGAGTCTCTCCGGGTATTCAACAAGCCGCTCATACTCGACTAGCGGCTCGGTTGCCCCTCTCCGTCGTCTGTGTTTTTGTCGCCGGTGCGCCCCGGCGCGGGGGCAGCGGCCGGGCCAGCTGGCTCAGCCCCTGGACCGGGGCGGCCTAGCCCCTGCGGCTCCACGGGCGGCCCGGAGGCGGGCGGGCACCCCGACCGCTCGCCGCCCCCGCGCCCCGCGGCCGCGGAGGCGGCGGTGCCGCTAGGGGCCCAGGAGGAACGGGCCGCAGCGGGCGTAGGGCAACACCTTATCATCGCCTGCCGTGCCGTCGCATTCTTGGCCCTTGCGCGGCACGTCCGCGACCTATCCGGGACCGGGACGTCACCCTCGCGCGATGGGCGCCCGGCCGCTCTGGGCGTCGGGGGTCGCCGGGCACCGTATCGCCCCTCCCTGTCCTCCATATGGTGAGGTGTGTCAACTCCCTGATGGCACGTGCGTGCTGTGCAGAACTATTATTATTAGAGAAGACATTAGCGAGGATTTATTCTATATTTAAGCTCCAATTTATTAATTATAAAAAGGATGCAAACACATTGAGAAAGACAGTATACGACCCTGATCGAATGATATAGTTATGACTAAACTTTGAAATCGAATAATTATGTTTGTGCTAAGCCCCTTGGTTTTTCTGTTTTTTGTTATGTATTTTTGTTTGTGCAATCTAAAGATGTTTTTATATTGCCCAAAACGGCCCCACCACGTTCCGTCGCCGGATGCGTGAAATTTCCAAGTTGTGTAATATTTGTTATGTTGTTTGGTGTGTAGTATATCATAGCACTTGTGTGTGTTGTTTCCCGCGACCCGCGGCGCGCCGCGCGGCCCCCAGGCCCCGCGGCGCGCGTCCGGTGGCTGCGGCGTGGTTGGGTGTGTGTCGTGTGCGTTGGTGTGGACTCGGCGTCCCCCCGGGGGCGGGGCGGTGGGCCGATCCTCCGCCCCGCTCACCCTTCACCGCGCCCTCCCGCCCCGTCTGCCCCGCGCCCCGTCGCTCGCCCAGGCCCGGGGGACCACACTCAGCGTGCTCGGGCGACCTATAACGGCCGGGTGGGGCCGCCACAGCCGTACCCGGTTTCGCCGATCCGGGCGCGCCTGCCTCTGGGGTCACGCGCCCCTCCGGGGCCCGCCCCTCTGGGGGGGGGTGGGGCCCATGAGCAGGCGCGGTGACAGGGCGTGGTGCGGTGTACTGTGTGTTGCAGAATGACCATATTGACATTGCATTAACGGGCCAATAATAGCGAAAGTAGAGTAGTAACACATTTAAGACTTTGGCGTAGTAAATAATTTCAGTGTTTATTTACTTTTAGCCTCATCTGACATAGTCAGATGCAGCTGTAGAATCCAATGAGTCGATCGTCCGATCCGGATCGTCGTCCGGCCGAGTCACAGTTGACCCACAAATTTAACGTCTCGACGTCTCAGGTCACGATATTCCGGTGTTGGGGGGATGTCCAAAAACGAGTTGGATGTACGAAGCTGGGTCAAATGTCAAAGTCAAAGGTCAACGAGTGTAAAAGGAAGGGGCGGAACAATTTGCACTCCTTTACTTAGCATAGGCGAGAAATGCAGAGGGGCACAAATTCTGAAACGGCTCGACCTGAAGGCTCGTGATTTAGTCGGTGCATATAGTCAATCGAATGGTAGAGGAATAAGCTGCGTGTTGCCGAAATGGTATGGTCATCAGTGTCAGAGACGGTCAATGAGCACAGGGCAGATTGGTAGACATTTTCTGAGACATGGTCTGACGGGAGAGCGAGTGAGAATAACTTTTTGTGTTCACGGTGACCTTGAGAATTTTTATGCTTTATTGAAAGACCATAGAATATGTCCCTTCTGCTGACAGTTGAAGAGTAAGTCGTCGGATAACCGTTGGACCGGTCCTCATAGAGGAGAGGTATAAACGATAATTTGTTGACTGTAACAAAGGAGTAACTGCTTTGCTATTAAACCCCTCCCCTTCCCCATCCCCCACCCTCCCGCCCCAAAGGAAAAGTCACGAAGGGATGCGGGTTGGTAAAGCCGGCAGCGCATCAAATTTTAGATTGATCAAACATAGCGTCTAAACAGGAATGCTCCGACTGTGTTGGTAGCGATAAAAATAGAATGTATGCTTTCGGTTTTCACCGATCATAGCCGATCAGTCCGAGCGTGTATATAGCCATGACAGGTACCCGAGTGCTATTTCATTAATTAATTAGACTAATCGTGCTTCAATAGACTCAAAATTCACAGAGATTAAGGCTAAGACATGTGTCTATAATAGCTAGAATTTATAGAAATGTAACTCAAGTCGTTCGTGTCATATGATACCTAGTTAGTACAAGTTCCTCCGCCACCTCTGTACATACTCATTTCTCCATATATAACGATGCATGTGAACTTGCAGAACGTTTTAATTGCCCGCGTACACGTGTTGTGAGCCACGGCTGACGTCAGAGACATGATACAACCAGCATATTCTCGGTTTTCACTAAAGCTTAGTGCAGACTTGCGACTTTTCCATGCAACTCGGCTGCGATTCTAGAATCGCAGTCGAAATTGCTGTGAAATCGCCATGTCTGCGGGAACGTGCAACTGCAACTCGTAGCGATTCTGGTCGCTTGTAACGAGTGGTTTGATTTTCAGCAACTCGTCGCTCCCAATCGCTTCGAAATCGCATGTGTGCGCACACACGGTGAAGCGAGCGACCGATCGCATGCGGTTGCAGGTTGCAGCGACGAGCAACCAAAAGTCGCAAGTTTGCGCTAGGCTTAAGCCAGTATCCATCAGCATCAACCGTTTTAGAGCTGTCATCTGCCAGTGATAGTTCAAATTGCCGCACGGCTGAAAATAGCATTTACATCTCGTTACATAGCCTTATATATATAGCTGTGGCAGTGATAACATGCGATTGTTAAAAAAATTCTATGTGTGATTCATGTTGAAATAGATAGTAGGAGTGAACTTAGAAACGTGCTTAATTTGAGTGTGGTGTGGTAACATTTTCCCAGTTTTATTGGCCGTTGTTACTGAGGAAAACTGCGCTTTTAGCTGCGAATTCCATTGTTCTGAGTATATATCGATCATGAAGAAAAGAAGCTTAACGCTATTCGTTGTATAGCGTCTTAGTGAAAGAAGTATGCCTTCAGTTGAACATGGAAAGAGGTCAAGAGTCATAGTTTATATTGGATGAAATGGTAGACTATGGTATGTTTCAGGAACTTTTAACATTTTTCATATCTCCCCACCCCAATCTTTTTCTGATAGCACCCTCTCACACTGACTCTTGTCACATAGCAACAAGAGCTATTAATATCTATAAATATCCTTTAATTGATAGTATCACGTCACCCAATCCTTATCATCTGCCCCCTTGTTAGGATGTCACAGCCTCACTCTGACCTTAATGATCTCTAATGATGGATTGTGGATGATGGACTGCACATCTAACATATCGCCTTACGGAGTCACTGGCTGATTGCTTTGCAGCTACAGATGCGGGAGCTTTTCACCTCTCTTTTAAGTGGTTTATCTTTGATGTGCCGCCTGGAACAGACATGTTTGCGATACTTGTGGCCGGGAGACTGGTACGTACGTGTTCGGTCTGTCCTACGTGCTATTTACCTCGAATCTCTTAGTGTTGTGAAGCAGTTCAAAAATCCAGATTGGACATTGCTCTCATCGAAAAAGCTGATCATGATTGATGAATGATCGATTTCATCATTACGTGTTTAGGAACTAGACTCGGTTTGATTCGAATACAACGTGCAGTACAAATTGACAAAGTGTTTTCTTTAAACGGTATGTATATAGACAGTGTTTATATGCGGAATTGTGGAATTATGCTCAGATTCATTCAGTCGGTGAGTGGCACAATTATACTGTGGCCGAGTAAACAGATACAACGAGTCCAATTTCAAAAAAACCATGATCGATTAATTGATTGTAACATTCATATATATATATATGTGTGAGTGGGTGTATTTTTACCCATGCCATAATGTTACACACCATAGAAACTACTGTCAGTTCTAGTCTCTAGGGAGTTTTTCATACTTGGTTGGATTCATATGAGTGTGACACAAACTTCTGAACATGTGTACGTGTTCACCAATCCACTGATTGTGCGTGCTGTGGCTTATTCAATTTTGTGCACTAGTTTGTGCATTACTGTTAATTCCAAAATGAAATATTCGAAAATTTGTTCTAGTGTTTCTGTGCTATGGTTGCTATGGTTGCTATATATATATATATAGAGAGAGAGAGAGAGAGAGAGAGAGAGAGAGAGAGAGATAGAGAGAGAGAGAGAGCGAAGAGAGAGAGATGTATGTTTTTCCCAAATGTCTGTATATATATATTTATCTAAATTTGTATTGATGCTGCATGTGTCATTTCTTTTCCAGGTGCAAACCGAGTGCACGCAGGTTAGCGAGACGCAGTTTCTCTTCGACGTGCAGGACGCAGACTCCGTGAATCACGTCGCCGTATTTCTCACTGGTCTGCAGCCGTTTCCAGACACGCACGGTGGCGCAGGTGATGTTCATGACTCACGCACGCGCACGTATGCAAGCACGTATGCAAGCACGCATGACACACACATACGACATACATGCATTGACGCACACACACCCATGCACTCATGTACACATGCACCCACGGACGTATGCACGCACATACGACATACACGCTGTAGACGCATGCACCCACCCATGCACCCACCCATGCAGGTACGACATGCACACATGCACCCACCCACGCACCCACCCATGCATGTATGCATCCACACACGCACATACCCACACACGTATGCATGCACACATGGTACACACATACGACATACACGCTGTAGATGCACACATCCACCCATGCAGGTACGACATGCACCCACGCACCCACCCACGCATGCACCCACCCATGCACCCACTCATGCATGTACGACATGCACATATGCACCCACCCACGCACCCACCCACGCACTTATGCACGCACACATGTATGCATCCACACACGCACCCACCCACGCATGCATGCATGACATACACACATACACCCACGCACGTACGCACCCACCCATGCATGCACGCACGACATACATGCGTACACCCACGCACGCACCCAGCCAAGCAGGCATGCAAGCATGCACCTACCCATGCAGGCATGACATACGCATGCGCCCACCCACCCAGCCACGCACGCCACGCACCCGCTCACCCACGCACGCAGGACATGCACGCACACTCGCGCGCACCCCCATGCATGCATCCACGCACGCAACGCGTTACGACGCGAGTCATAATATCCCGGTCGCCTGCTCCTCCCAGCAGACGAAGTACTCGGCGATTTACTGTGACGATCTTGTAACAACATTTTGTCAGTGACGGTGGTGACCCTCCCCATTACTCGGTGACGGTGAAGCTGCTATAACCGTGTGTCTGCCACTGTCGCAGCCCAGTCTACGAAGACGATCTCTGCTTGCAGTGTACTTCAGTTGGCCGGATCCTAGTGGCGCCGCCCGGTGGCAATTGCTGGGACACATCTCGAATAACAAGCCCAGCGCCATATTCAAGCTTTCCTCGTTGAAAAAGAGTGAGTGACCTGACAAAGCACACGCTTGCTGTTAGCCATCCTTCAATTGCCATCACGGGTGGGAGAGGGGAGCATATACGGCGGTATTAAATTGATTCAGAATTCATTTAAAATCAGAGGTGACAATCTCCCGCGGATCATTGTAGGATGATGAGAAAAAGGCTGAAGTTTGCGAAGATGGTATATGTCATCTGATTACTATTGTAATCCTTCAGATTGATTCCCGTCATCTGAAGAACTGTAATCACGGCTTATTTGCCAAGCTGTCATCAGATCACTTTCATTAGGCTCCCGGGGTATCGAGTAACCCCTCGCCCTGAACAGGTTGTTACCGCTGGTACGACATGTGCATCGCACACTGATGTTCGTGAACAAACAGGATTCAACCAACACCATTTTCAAATCACAGTGTGCTGCATGAGGGGGATCACGTTGGCACTATCTATTATCACATGTCAATCACTATGTGGCATTATCAAATATCAAATGTCATGACATTCGCCAAACCACGTTCAACTGTGAGATTCTACCGTAGGCATAATTGTGCCGTGGCCTAACTTGCCGTAATCCCTCTGTGAAATCATGTGCCTGGATAACATGAGAACATATACAATACCACTTAGCCATTAATTCGATTAGAATGTCCTCAAAACTCATAAAAATACGTATATCCTGTGGGCCTCATGACATCTCTTAGATATTAGTACTTAGTACGTTGCGTCGGTTATCTATCAAGCAAGTTTACGTGAAAATCAGAATCTACTTATTGCCTTTAGATCGTCTGAAGATATGCCAAATGATTAAGTTTGTTATCATTAAGTTTGTTAATGATAATGTAAATTAGATGCAAAGATGCCAAATATTGTCAACTGTTTTTTACTATGTACGACTTTTCGTTTATGATAAATACATGCACAGTCTACTAAAACTAAAATCTATATGAAATATAGAATGCAATGGCATAGTCCTTCATCCCTTAAATTAATGACTGTGAAGCAGATAAAGATTTGCATTGCACGAGTAACTTCACTAGTAGATCACTGTAGATGTGAATGTAGTGGCGCCACCAGCGGAACAATCGTAATTAATTGTAAGCAAACGATCGTCAACAGCTTTTCAAATATTGTTAGAAAATATATCTAATCTACATTAAACATCGAAATTTACCAGATCCTTTAACCCATGCCCGATCTGACGAGAAAATTATGCATATTATAACATTAGGTAAAATTCTGTTTATTAACCAAATATTCCATTTATTTACCGAATGCGAACCCCCCCAAAAAAGTAAATCGGATGTGGAAACACTAACCGATCATCGTCGTATCGCAGCGTGTAATTCCGCTATGTTTTGCCACCAGGTGGCGAGGACATCGCGAACCCGTTTGGCGCCGCGCCGGCGCACCACCTAGCGCAGATCGGCATCTCCGTCGAACCTCTCGACCAGCTAGCAGCGCAGGTCCCAGCAGGTGGCGCCGCCGTCTCCACCTCGGACACGTTCACCGAGTTTGCGAACAAGACGCTGGAGAGCCTCTTCAACTACGCGTCGTCGTTTGCATCGACGGCGACGCCTTCTGCCGGCGAGGCGACGCTGCCGCTTAGCGTGCTGCAAAACTGGTACATGACGTTCCGCAGACGCCTCGAGCAGAACCCGCTATTCTGGAGGACGTGACTGCGCCGGCCGCCAGGGGGCTTCACTACCGTGTCGTGCCTCCAGGGGGCACTGACGACGTGAAATGTTCGCGTGTTTTCAAAACGATGCAGAGAACTCGGCGATAATTTTGGCGACAAGTTCTCTGCGTCGTTTTGAAAACACGCAAACATTTCACGTCGTCAGTATACATATATATAGTATATATTTATATATATATATCATAACACCTCACTTACACAAAATCTAGGTTGCACTACATATATATATATATATATATATATATAGTTGTGTATAGAGTGATAGCTGGTTGTTGAGTGATGCATGATGCATTAACAGTCAACGTACTAATCTCATGCGTAGATGTGTTGTAGTAGAGAAGACTACGTGGCGATGTTATAAGACATGAATATGTTCCTCGTGTTAGTACGATATATACTACAACTAAAGTCTGTTATAACCATCGGAGAGAAAAGTGAGACTTAGTGAGATTATAGAGATCTATTTTAGAGAAATATATATATATATATATGTGCGCGCGTGTGTGTGTTGGCTACTCGTCTGTACTTTATATATACTATTAATTTAGCAATCACCAGTGAGCTGATGTGGTTGCTTTTTTCTTTAGCTGTCAATGCTGTGCTCATTATCATACTATGCTTGCAAGATAGAGTTCTCTGTCTATTGCTCTTCCCCTCCTCACTATCTCTCTCTCTCTCTATCTTTTTCTTTCTCTCTATCTTTCTCTCTCTCACACTTTCTCTCTCCCCGTCTCTCTCCCCGCCTCTCTCTCTATCTCTTTTTCTCTCTCTCTTTCTCTCTATATTTCTATCTCTCTCGCTCTCTCTCTCCCTTCTCTCTATCTTTCTTTCTCTCTCTCCCGCTTCCTTTCTCTCTCTCTCTCTCGCTCGCCTTCTCTCTCTCTCTTTCTTCATCGCCTCCTCTTTCTCTTTCTTTTTCTCCCCCTCTCTCTCCCAGTGGCGCTAAACTGTTATTTTTGAATTTGCTGATGGCAACACGCAGTTAGTACAGTTAGTAATGCACGTATCCATGCGAAATATGGTAGCTGGCGGTCTTTGTACTGCTATTCTCAGTCTGCTGCCTACTCAGTTGGTGACGGGAATCTGTTCTGTTGGAACAGTTGGAATCTGCTAATGGGTGATGTTTAAATACCTTGTTTTCGCTAATTGGATTGCCTTTTGCCTTTTACCCTTTTACCCAATTTACGCTTGCCTTGTTCTGCATTTGATTCTTCAATGGCTTTTAGTATATACGTAGCAGCAGTAACAGCAGGGGGTCGTGCGAATAAGAGAAATAGCATCAGTAGAGGCTGCAGCGTGACTAGCATCATGTAATAGTAGAAGCAGCCACATGGCTGTATTCGTCGTAACAGTAGCAATACTACAACCACCTCCAGCAGCAGTAGCGACAACAACAACAACAACAACAACAACAACAATAACAGCAGCAGCATCAGTAGAGGCTGCAGCGTGACTAGCATCATGTAATAGTAGAAGCAGCCACATGGCTGTATTCGTCGTAATAGTAGCAATACTACAACCACCTCCAGCAGCAGTAGCGACAACAACAACAACAACAACAACAACAACAACAACAATAACAGCAGCAGCATCAGTACTACAAACACGACGAGAAATAGCAGCAGTAGCGTAGTAGCAGAACCAACCTAAACCACGAGCGCAAAAAGGCCTAAATCACACGAACAAAAAAGAAACAAATTACATCCACGCAAAAGTGACAGTGTTTGAGCTGTGGCATTGTGTGGATGTATTTGTTTATGTTGTGTATGACGTGTGCGTGCGTGTGTGTGTGTGTGTGTGTGTGTGCGTGTGTGTGTGTGTGCGTGCGCGCGTGCGTGCGCGCGCGCGCGTGTGCGTGTTTCAGAGAAAATGTGGGGAAAACATTTTTGTATAAATGTACAATTATAACTTAATCATGTGGCGTGGCTATGCCTAAATCGCCTCAGGACAGGGGATGGTCGATGCAGGGCACTCATGCAGAAATGGGGATACATTGAAGATGGCCCAACCGAATGCGACTGCGGTAAGGGCCATCTCCTGGAATACTCCCTATTACCAGAGCCCTGTAGCCCTGGAGACATTGAGGCTTTCAACCACCGTGCCAAGTCCTGTGTGCTGCAGTGGCTAGGACGAGTGTAGTGTAGTATACTTAATATTTGTTCGAGAATTTCCACGGTGAGCGTAGAGAGACATCTCTTTGAGTAAATTTACGTGTGTTTGATTGGATTTGATGAGCAATTATGTTGTAATGGCCATTACAGTGCTACCTGTCCGTAACCTTTAATGGATCCTTAATTAAACCACGTTGTAATCCAAGTGTGTGATCAATCAAGGCTCGCGACAGATTCACGAACATCTTTCACTTCAGTTGCATTCTGCTTCGCAGCAGCTGTTCCATCACATATCTGTACCCTCGGCAGCCCGCTGCCAGCCCGATGACTACCTTGCGTTTAGTCTTGACCCTTGCTAAATTGGTTCTGACCGTAATGGGTAGTATTAATTTCCGCGTTCAGGAAATCAGGGACGAGGGAAGGATTAACGCTGGTTTCTGCCTGTGTAAATTACCTGAGTTGATTACTGTCCATTATACAATAATTAGGTCATCTAGTACATAAGCGTGGCGTTTGTGCGCGCGCGCGTGTGTGTGTGTGGGAGCGCGTGTGTATGCGCGTGCGAGCGAGCGCGCGCGTGTGTGTGTGCGAGTGTGTGCGTTTCTCTGTGTGTGAGTTTGTGCGTGTGTATGTGAATGTGCACACTTTAGTGTGTGTGTCTGTGCGTGCGTGCGTACGTGCGTGTGTGTGTTAGTGGTAGTGTACGCGTGCATGTGTGGGTGTGGGTGTTCGTGCGTGAGTGCGTACATGCGGACGTGCAATTGTGCGCTTTTCCGTATATCTCTCTCTGCCCGTCACTCGCTTCTTGCTCTCGCCTCCTACGCACCTACCTGCCATCCTCCTCCTCTGTTTTTATACCCGGGATCAATAAATCTCAATCGACGCCGACGTCATTCTCCTCCCTTCTCTCGTCTCCCCATCTTCTTCATATTCATACTCCATTGATTCGTCTTTGAATAAAACGTAGCGAAGCGTAGTTTTAGGTACCTTTGCTATGTCTTATTATTATATTATTATCTTCATGTTAATGCTAGTTTAGGCCTAGCTTTAGTTTTGACACAGGGGCTTGAAAATATCTCCCCGTGAGAAGCCTGAAGTTGAGAGTTGAGAGAAGTTGAAGTAGCAAAAATAGAAGTAGAAAACGAAGAAGACGAATAATAATTATGATAATAATAATAATATGACAATAATATGATGATAATAATAATAATACGATGATGATGATGATGATTATAAAGAAGAATAAGAAGATGATGATAATAACGCTGAAGAAGAAGGCGATCCTGCCATACACGTGGCGAAATCAGAACACGCGAGAGCGGTTGTTAATTGCACCCCGTTGCGTGCAAAACTTGTTTGCCTGCTATCGTGTTCTTCCATTTACCCATCACCGATTTCATACGCCATCATTTCCCGTTGGTTAACCGACATGGCGCGAAAAAGCTAACCGTTTAATATTGTCACACGGACACTGCATGTCTCGCCATCGTCGGCGCGCGCGATTGGCGGGTCATTGCGCATGCGTGCATGCTTGTGGCGCGAACCGAATGTCGTGTTGATAAAAGTAAGTGCGCTAGAGCTGCGTAGGTGATTGAGACATCGAGACCGATAGAACGCTCGGAAACCGCGTGGAGAGAGAGTGGCAGACAGCTGGAGAGAGAAAGAGTTAAAAGACAGAGAGAGAGAGAAGCAGAGAGCTGGAGAGAGAAAGGGCTAGATCTAGAGGAAGAGAGAGGGAGAGAAAAGCAGAGAGCTGGAGAGAGAAAAGCAGAGAGCTGGAGAGAGAAAAGCAGAGAGCTGGAGAGAGAAAAGCAGAGAGCTGGAGAGAGAAAAGCAGAGAGCTGGAGAGAGGAAAGCAGAGAGCTGGAGAGAGAAAAGCAGAGAGCTGGAGAGAGAAAGAGCTAGGAGAAAGAGAAAGAGCGAGAGAGAAGCAGAGAGCTGGAGAAAGAAAGGGCTAGATCGAGAGGACGAGAGAGAGAGAGAGAGGGGGGGAAGCCGACAGCAAGAAGAAGAGAGCTAGAAATAGATAGATAGAGATAGATAGAGTGAGATAGATAGAGAAAGAGAGAGAGAGAGCGCGCTGGGGAGGAAGGATAGGCAGACAGACAGACAGACAGAGAAGAGTGTGTGTGAGTGTGAGTGTGTGTGTGTGTGTGTGCGTGTGTGCGTGCGTGCGTGCGTGCGTGCGTGCGTGCGTGCGTTTGTGTGTGAGAGAGAGAGAGCGTGAGAGAAAGAGAGGCGAAGTATAGATAGAAAGAGAGACCTAGCTGAGAGCACTGGTTTCCTCATCTAGGGACGACTTCATCTCCACGGTGAACATGCTGGTGGCAGTCTTTGTCTGTGTCCTGCTCGGGTGGCCAGTATGTCAGTGTGAGCCACGGAGTCAACTGCGCAACATCAGTGCCATCTATTACCCGAGCAACGACAACAGCAGCGCCATCTATTACCCGAGCAACGACAACAGCAGCGCCATCTATTATTCGGGTAGCGACAACAGCAGCGCCATCTATTATTCTGGTAACGACAACAGCAGCGCCAGCTATTATTCGGGTAAGGACAACAGCAGCGCCATCTATTATTCGGGTAACAACAACAGCAGCGCCCTCTATTACTCGGATAATAAGGACAGCAGTCATCAGAACACAAAGCCGGGCAACAATAGCGCTAGAAACGTGTCTCACGGTCCAGACAGCAATGACATCATCACTGTCGCGACAGAGAATCGTAGCAGCGCCATCTATGAGTCAAATCCCCGCAGCGACTGCCATGAATCGGACGCTAGTGGCGCCCTCTACAATGCGAACAACCGAACCGGATGTCCGGCGTCCGACGTCGTGGGAGGAGTCGACGAGACGGATAATCGCACGAGACTTTATCTTCTCGGCTTGTTCCCGTTTTCCGACCCGTGGCCTGGAGGGGAAACGATGCTGCCCGCCTTCCAGATAGGACTGGAGCACGTGAACGCAAGACCGGACATCCTGCCCGGATACCGCCTCGAACTGATCTGGAGGGATACGCAGGTGAGACTGGTGACGCCGTCGTGTGAGTGCGTGTTAGTTCCAATTCGCAGTGCAGCCGCAGTTCGCGTGCGTACGTGCGCGTCCGTGTACGTGCGCATGTACGCGTGCGCGTCTGTGTGTGCGTGTATGTGTGTGTGTGTGTGTGTGTGTGTGTGTGTGTGTGTGTGTGCGTGTGTGTACGTGTGTGTTCATGCGTGTACGTGTGCGTACGCATGTTTACGCGTGCGTGTGCATGAGGCGACTCATGGTGAGTCACATCGCCCCATACTGAAATGCTCTTGCTCCCACCCCACCCACACCCGCACCTCACCTTCCACATCCTCCCACTTGTAAGATTTATTCAGAACACGATCAGAATCCACGCATCGCGCGCGTGGCCATCGTCTCGTCGAGCGTCCTTGACAACCACCATCCCACCCATAGAAATAATAGTGATATCTATATCGTTATCTATATGATCTTTATGGTCCCACTCCTCGTATTACAGTGCAGTCCCGGCAAGGGTGTCGACGTGATGTACTCGCTGCTCTACAAGCCGCCGGTGAAGGTGATGATCATCGGCGACGGCTGCTCGTCCGTGTGCGAGGCAACGAGCGAGGCAAGC